GCACACATAGACACGAACTGTTGCTTGTTGTGTGTGTGAGTGTGTGTATTTGATGTCCCCAACTATTTGTTATTTGTTGTTGCTGCATAAAGTTATTAATGAAAACCCTAATGCCAAATGCACTAAGCAAAGAAAAAACAAGATAGAACGCTACAGTCGAGCAAGCCCGACAGTAAAATAGCCTGTACTCTTCACAAAAAAAAAAAATTAAAAAAAAAAAAAATTTTTTAAAATTAAATTATTAAAAAAAATGAATGAATTAATTAATTAAAATAATTAATTAAATTAAATTAGAATACATGTATATGTTCAGTTTAAACAGCATAAATTTACATCACGTTCCTATGCGTGTTTATATGCGCGTATGTATGCTGCACAAAGTTGAACAAAAGCATCAACAACAACAGCTGCGGGCAGCGCTGCCGACAGAGCTGCAGGAAGCGCATGAGCAGCGATTTTACTTATGGCTATAACTTTCTTCAGAATTGACCTATCATGATGAAATTTGGCACACGGACACATTAGTACTAACTGAATGTACCTACCAAAAAAAATTCCGAGAATTACGGAAGTTATAAGAAAAAATACGAATTGCGGGGGAGTGGGGGGGTGTATCAGAAAAAATAAACAAACTCGTTCTGCCTTGGGCTTATAGGAACCTTGATACCAATTTTGGTTATCCTAGCTCTTGTACTTACTGAGATCCTTGCGCTCATACAGACAGACGGACATGGCTATATCGACTCGTCTTCTCATCCTGATCAAGAATATATATACTTTGTGGGGTCTGCCACGCCTCCTTATGTGTGTTACATACATGCGCACAAAACTAGTATAGCCTTTCACCCTTTGGGTACAGGCTATAAAAATTACTTTTAAAAATGTTATATAATTTTCAATTAATTAACATTTCTTGCTCTGTCAGTGCAAGACGAATGTACATACATACATATGTAGATACATATGTACATACATAGATGTGCACATATGTATGGACATTCACACATTAGTGTCTCACATTTTGCTTTGGCTATTTCAATCGTTTGCACACAACTACACGAACAGCTGTTTGTATGTGTGTGTATGTATACTTAGTTGTCCCCAACTGTTTGATATTTTGTATTGTTTGTTCTGCCTGCTTTTGTAAAATGCATATTTTGAAAATCCTTGAATGCAAAGTTGTAGATTTAGCTACGTAGATTACATTACCCAAATTTTATCGATCGGACTAAATTTATAACACAAACTTTTCATTTGAAATAGTGAATAAATATTAAAACCCCAATAATTCAAGCTCCAACACAAATTTCGAAAATCTAAGTATGTAGTTTTGTTTGTATTCTTAATTATTAATTGATTTCAGAAACTAAGTTTTAAGTCGATCGGTTGAAAAATTCAGATTTTTTTAACCAACTTTGGAGCTCGTTTTCGCCCCTTTGGAGCTCGAATTTTCCAAAATCCCTTCTTAGTGTGCTCCTACACTATGATGGATACTATGAAAGGATACTTGAGTCCGAATTTCATCTTTTACCGTTTGGGCTGTGCTGTGTATTAGTTATAGTGGTCATGTTCGTTTAACGAAATAGTTTGGCAAGAACAAAAATGTAACGGACTACTGAACAATTTTTTGTCAAGAACAGAAAATGTTCATTTAAATACCTTAAATGCCTTCCTACTGGTAACTTATAAGGTGAAAACATATGGGAAGGTTATGCACACACAAAATAAATACAATTGGAAACATTATATTGAGCCGGGTTAAGACGGGCAATACCTGCTAGTATATAGATAAACTTGTAATTGCAAAAATACTTAGAGCCCAGCAAAGACGGGCAAGACCTGCCAGTTTCAATATTTTTATTTGAATTGGTAATTCGTTCCAAATGCTAATAGCATACATAGAAAACTGTCTAGAAGACACTAAAAGTCTGTTCCGATGGCATACTGAGTTTTGCGTTTATTGATGTGGAAAATGTAATCTTTTGATAGAGGTATGCTGAATCCTTGTGTTATTTTAGTGAAAATTATAGAACCCTAAAGTTAATGCAAGACTTAAAACTTAAGTCAAAAAATTTGTACGCTTAGCTGGTAATGTGATTAAAGCGCCTTAGAACGAAAACTTATCGAGCAACACTATTGTATGCTACTTTGAGCGTTTGAACTGTAATTGCGTACACCCCAACACCATGGAAAAGGATAGCAAGTATAAATGTTTACACTTTCTACATGAAATTTACAAGAGTATATTAGGGTTACGCGAGCTGAAAAATGTAACAGGCTAAGTACATATATTCTTGATTAGCATGACAAGACAAGTCGATTTAGCCCTGTCAGTCTGTCTTAATGAACACCTGGACCCAAAGGGTGAAAGGCTATACTAGTTCTGTGTGAATGTATGTAACAGGCAGAAGGAGGCATGACAGACCCCACAAAGTATATATATTCTTGATTAGGGTGACAAGCCAAGTCGATATAGCAATGTCCGTCTGTATGAATGCAAGGATCTCAATGTATAAGAGCTAGAATAATCAAACTTGGTATACAGATTCTCCTAAGTCCGAGAAAGGACGACTTTCTGTTTCTTTTCCGATACACCGCCACATTCCCCACTATTCGCAATTTTCTATAACTCCCGTAATTCTCAGAGTTTTGAACTCAAATTTGGCAATTACATCCCGTAATGATAATGTGTCCGTATGCCAAGTTTCATTATGATAGGTCAAACATGAATAAAGTTATAGCCATAAATATTTTCTCTGTCTAGGCTCTGCCAGCAGGTGTTGTTGTTGTTTCTGCTTTTGTTAAACTGTGTGCTGCATAAATACACGCATAGACACGAGTCTGAAGTAAATGTAAACTGTTGAAATTGTATATAAACACTTATGTATATATGCATTAATTAATTACATGAAATGTACAAGAGTATATTAGGTTTGCGGGAGCTGAAAAATGTAAGAGGCAGAAACGTCTCTTTCAGACCCCACAAAGTATATATATTCTTGATCAGCAGATTCCAGAGACTATAAAAGATAGACACCAAATTTTTGCATGAAGATGCCTCATATATGCTACACGAGTTTTTTTTATTTTTCTGATTCCCTCACTTCTCCCCTATGGGGGATTTCCCTATATTCCGTTCTTATAAGCACCTATATCTCAGAGACTATAAGACCTAGAGCACCAAATTTTAGTCCGAGATGCCTTTTGTGAATACGCAGAAAATGTATATTTTAGAATTTCCCTCCCTCCCCCTTCTCCGCCGTAATTAGTGATCTTCCGTAAGTCCCGTAATTCTTGGAATTCAGAACTCCTTTTTTGCAAATACCCCCAGTTAGTGATTATGTGTCCGTATGCCAAGTTTCACTATGATATAACGGAACAGGAAGTTATAGCCATAAATATATTTGCTGCACGCAGCTGTTGTTAATGCTCGGGCTTTGGTTGACTGCAAACATGCTCACACAGACACGAATAGACGCGCATAGACATACATACACTTACATAGACGCAATTACTTTGTAAATGTGCAATATGTGCAAATGCAACACCCTTTACATGAGTTCGAATACCGAGAGAGGTAAAATCGATGAAAATTTTTTTTTATTCCCTTAATTTTTTAAATTTCTATAATTATTCTAAACATATTTACATAGTATTTCAAAGTCGGCACACCCGACTTTAGCTTTTTATACTCTGTACATGAAATGTACAGAAGTATATTAGGTTTGCGGGAGCTGAAAAATGTAACAGGCAGAAGGAGGCGTGGCAGACCCCACAAAGTATATATATTCTTGATCAGCATGACGAGACGAGTCGATCTAGCCCTGTCTGTCTCTCTGTCCGTCTGTCCGTCCGTATGAACACCTGGATCTCAGAGACTATAAGAGATAGAGACACCAAATTTTCCACAAAGATGCGTTATGTGTGTATTCTATACGAGTTTGTTTTATTTTTTTGATTTTCCCCCCCACTTACCAAGAAGTTATAGCCATAAATATATTTGCTGCTGCAGCGCTGCTCAAGCGCTGCCCGCGGCTGTTGTTGATGTTGCTGTTTGGTTGACTGCGAAAATGCTTACACAGACACGAATTGATGCGCATAGGCATACATACACTCACACAGACGCAATTGCTATGTAAATGTGCAATTATACACCCTTTACGTGAGTTCGAATACCGAGAGAGGTAAAATCGATCCAATTTTTTTTTCTTTTTTTTTTTTATTTTCTATAATTATTGTAAACATATGTACAGAGTATTTCAAAGTCGGGACACCCGACTTTAGCTTTTTTACTTGTTTTTAATTCTTTTTTTGTGGGGTGGGTAGTCTAGCATTCCTTTCTTGTTTTATTTAATTAAATTAATTTTTATACTCTGTAGCCGAAGGGTTTTGTGCGAATGTATATAACAGGCAGAAGGAGGCGTGGCAGACTCCACAAAGTTTATATATTCTTAATCAGGGTGACAAGCCAAGTCGATATAGCAATGTCCGTCTTTCAGAAGAAGATTTGCACGAGCTCGTTGTTGATTAGCTTGTCCGATTCGTAGCTGCTACATTGGTAGTTGTTGTTGTAAGTGGCACTGTGCCTGTTCCTGTACTTTGTGGGGTCTGTTATTATACAAACTGTAACTTTTTATGCTTTTATAATAATGAAAAGAACTATTGAACTCTGTATGTTTAAAAATTCATTGTCTTATATACAGCTGCCGTCATTGACACTGGTGAATTGACACATAATCGCGAAAGATTCACAGCTAAGAAAAGATTATTTCAAACCAATTTTAGAATTACTCCCAACATCATATGAACCCAAAATATTTCGGATATTCTTATCGGTTTAAGGTAAATTTAAAACAACTAATGATTGGACCAGAAAGACTAAAACGAGAAAATACATTTTATAAGAATATATATCATTGTCTGACCTATTAAAATCACTGCTCGCTCTGGAAAATATTTAAATAATGGAGTGATTTTCTGTTTCTCAAGTTTGGAATTTAATGCTAAATGAGTTTGTACGGTATGCAGCGCTATTTATGTTGGTATCGTTCTAGCAGCTAGTACATATTAAAGGTAACATTTTAACTTGTACAAATATATTAATACCAAACATCTTTTGTATTATATACTTTTAATAGTTATTTTATATAACAATTCATGAATATAAATATATGTTTAACAAACACTTTATACATTCATTCTCTAAAACCAAACTTATTAAAAATAATGTTATGGTGGCTTATGTTATTTATAATCATAAATAAGAACGGCCTTTGTTTAAAGCATAATGAAACAATAAAATTTAATAAAAATGACCATGATGTTAAAAACAGAACCAGTAAGTTTTTATTCGATACTATTTTTCGAATTGGTTCAGGAGTTTCGAATGCCTTTGGGTACGATGCCGATGAAGATACTGATATCAATGAAAATATTAACATTAAAACGTGTGATTGTGGTAAGTTATTATATTGTTAAAGCATTTTTCTTCAATTGTATATTAAACTACTTATTGTGATCAGAAACGCCAATAAAAATTGTATTTACAAGTAGAGAAGCTAATTAAGATGCTTTCTTGGGTACTCACATAGTTGGATTATATTTGATGGTTTTTGTTTACAAATACATACTTTTAAGAGGAGTAGTGATTGACACAAACAAACGGAGGTCGCTGATGTGATTCGTCTATAACATGTAGTTTCCTATTTTTCTTTATGGTTGCTATTAGGTAATATACCATAAACAATTGACCTTTATGGTTGATTTACATTGCTTATGACCCTTTTACAGCAAGGGAAACAAAGCCGTTTTTAATCATTTTTTGTGCTCACTTAGTGATCAATCAACAGCTGATTCGTATGTGTTAAGTTGAAGAACGTAAATGTAATTGCATTAAATGTACCTATATGACAGAACTTCATATTTACAGATATTTGATTTTTTCGATTGATTGCTTTAGAGCAGTTTTGATCAAATGGCTGTATTTAGACCGTTTATTTATGGAGCTTAAAATTGTAAATATGTTGTATGTATCGAATTCTATTAATGAGGACAGAAAAGAATGAAATAGTGCTGTCTCTTCTCTTAAACCCTATATCCTATGGGCCTAGAAAATCAATTTAAAACCAGTGGAAAAGCTAAAGTCGGGAGTCTCGACTTTGGAATACTGCGGGCAGTGCTTGGGCTGAGATTATATATTGCTATAACTTCCTGTTTATCGGCCTATCATAATGTAACTCGGCATACGGACACATAATCACTAACTGGAGTTATTTGCCAAATTTGACTTTGAAATAACGGGAGTTATGGAAAATCACTTATTGCGTGGGAGAGGGGCTAGTAAGAAAAATTCCAAACCATTTTCTGCGGATTCATGAAAGGTTATTTAGAATAGAATTTGGTGTCCCTAGCTCTTATAGTCTCCGAGATATAGGTGGTTATACGAACGGCGTTACGTATAAACCCCATTATCGGGAAAGTGTGGGGGAAAATAAAAAAAATGAAACAACAATATAAATTTTGTGTCTGTATATCCTATTTTTTCTTCAGATCTAGGGGATTATACGGACGGTCAGACAGACATAGATCGACTCGTCTTGTCATGCTGATCAAGAATATATGTACTCTACCACGCCTCCTTCTGCCTGTTAAATTTTTCAGCTCGCGCAAACCTAATATACTCTTGCACATTTAATGTAAAGAGTATAAATACACATGAGCACGTACGGACACATAATCACTATCTGAGTGTATTCAAATATGAGTTCAAAATTACACGAACTACGGGAGTTAAGAAATAATTACTTATAGCGGGGGAGTGCTTCAGTGCTTAGGAGAATTTGCATACCCAGTTTGGTTATCTAGCTCTTATACTTTCCAATATGCTTGCGTTCACACAGGGAAACGGACAGACCCATCGACCCGTCGTGTCACCCTGATCAAGAATATATATACTGCCATACCTTCCTCTACCTGTTACAAGATGACTTATATGAATATATATATGATTATGATTGCGTGTGCCACGTTTCAGTATGATAGGCCTATTTTGAAAGGAAGTTATAGCCATATAAGTAATATCTGCCAAAGCGCTGCCTACGGCTGTGTTTATTGTTGCTGCCTTAGATCCACTTGTTACTGGGTACATGCTCATACACAGACATGCATATACTCACATAGACACAAATACCAAAGGGGGTAAAATTGTTTTAAAGTTTTGGTTGTTGTTTTTTTGTTTTTAATTTTTTTAATTTGTTAGTTTCTGTAACTATTCTACATAGTCTCCAAGGTGATTATATATTGGTTTTATTTAAAATTTGGTTTATCTATGGATCTCTCCCGTTTTCAAGAGAGGCTTTAGTACGAATTTTCAAAAAAAAAAAATACTGTCCATGTCCGGTAAAGAGAGTATCCGCACGAGAGAGGTGGACTTGTAAAAAGTAGCCCAAAACGAAGTCAGCTAACCAAGTTTTATATAACCAATAAGACCGACTTTCACTAACTTCGGTATGAGGTGAGCGTATATTAACCAGGGCTCGTAAAATGCGATGCAAAACTCATTCGGACACACGAGAAATTCTGCCGCGACTCGCCGTCATCCGCTGAGTTGCCATGAGCCGTGTAAGCCGACCGTGAGTCGCCGTGAGCATCGTGAACCGCTGCCGACAGCAGATGAATGTCGTAATAGCCAGCCTGTTTCATCCCTTATAGCTTCATCTAGCTGTTTTGTCTGCGTTTGCATAGTGGTACCTGATACTATATTTCTGAATGAATGTATTTCGATTTGTTGGCTATAGGAAATAAATATATAATTTGCAAATAAATAAACTAACATATTTTATACTATTCTAAAGAAGTATACGAGTTGACTGTAGGTTTTATTGGTATGGGAATAAATAGGTAGTAAAGTCCCATCAAATTAAGTTGCAACGCCGCGGATCTTTAAAAATAGTATCAGGTTCTACTGTGCCAACGTAGGCAAAACAGCTGGGTCAAGCTAAGACGGAGTAGGCAGCAGGAACAGAGTGAAAGGGATCGCGCACATTTCGCCTTAACAAATATGTACACAAAAGCATACCATCATAAAAATTTCAACATTACACATACAATATATATGCTTGCGTTCCACTAAAGAGCGCTCGGCGTCTCCAGGCCGGCTCGTATGAAACTCAGCTGCTGTCGGCAGCGACTCACGATGCTCCCCGCCTCTGCCGGCAGTGGCTCACGAATATTCGCGGCAGAATTTCTTCTGGGTAGCAGCGAGTAGTGAGCACATATTAACCAAACTTGAAAGCTACATAATCCAAACTGTGGACACATAATTAATACACAACTATCTACTTTTGTTTTAAGTTCCAAGTCGGTCAATTTATAGAAAAGTTATTAGCGAAACAATTTAACTTCAGTACTACGCCTTTAAATTTGTTTTTTTTCGCTTCTGCTATGGGCGCATATAACTATTTCTGGCACTGGGAAGAAATTTGTCTGGGTACAGGGATTCGGGATTGCTGGACTGTAGCGTTTCAATCAATGCTCAAAATGACCATCAAGTCTTAACATGGTTGTAGCAAAACAATTCGTGTGTTTTTTTGAATTTCTATAGAGTTTCATTACAACTCGGCTAGTGGCTTTTAATATAATTGGCGAAGGCTTTTACTTTTCCGATATCAACATAGTATTATGTTCATCTATGACTTTTACATTAATTTTCTGCAATATAGTATATACCTCTTAAATGCGTTTTCTGAGTCGATGTTGGTGCTCTAAATGTCAATAATTTCTACGTGCACAAACACGAGTTTTGCTGCAATGAGAGCGATTTTTTCGAAAACGGGCAAAATCGAGCAATGGAGACTTCATAATTATGAATCTGTGTACTTTTGTTAAGACATTGACATTGTTAGCTCCACGCTCTGACGCGCTCTGCGAAAGTAATACTCCACAAAACACAATTACTTTTGTTATACATTCCTGCTAAATAGACACACACAAAATACTGGATAACACGAAAACACATACAATGACGTCACGATATGGCTTAGAAATTGATTCTACATACCTTGATCTTTGCTTTCCATACTTATACTTTTATTTTTAAACAAATAAAACCACTTTCAGGATAATCGAAAGCTGGCAAAAAGTTTCCTCCAATTTGCAAATTCCAGGGCTGTCATCGATCAGCTAAATTCACAATCGTGGCAAATTAACAGGGTTGCAACAAAGCTAAAAAAGGTTTGTTCTAATTGGGGTGTCTATTTATTAAAATTGTATTTATATCCCGAAAATATTTTCAGAAATTTTTCGATTTTAAGCCGCTGTGGGACCATAGTGCAGTGTAGAAATGCCCACTGGGCCCACACAAAAATTGCATTTTCCCATTTTCCTGAGTTAAATCTTATTTTGCGATTTAAAATAAAGGCTGTTAGTCTTGTCATCATCAGTCAAATGAAATCTGAAATGAAATGATATCTTTCGAAGTTCCGTGGTACCGATTTTTTAAGATAAGCAGTGATATTCAATAACTGTGCAATCATTATCTGTGTTCCATTTGGAAGTTAAATCTGCTTCTGGCTTACAATATGCGTACGTTAGCCTTGCATCGCCGGTGTTTGCACCGTCGGATGGCTTCGCTGGAGCTCTGTGACCTCTCGCCGTCGCATCATCGACTCATCATTGAGCTCATCATTTGCTGCATTTTTCTTCTTTTTTTGCGGTATAATAATAATGAAAAAATCGTGTTCGCAATAGTAGATACATACATGCATATTGGAATGTGCGTGCGTCGTGTACAGAGAAAAATGAAGTAAAGAAACGGTTAATGTATGTATATGTGAAGCAAGCGGTTTGGTAGCGAAAATATGCAAATTTCATGTCAGAAATATCAAAGAAAAAAGTCGTTACAAACGAAATGTAGATTAACGGGGTTTCCGTTATCGGGCAAAGAAGAATTTATAAAAAGATTTAGTGACGAGGAATATGCCAGATTCGAAAACAAATCTATGCAAGAAACAAGTAAAAAAGCTAAAGTCGGGTGTCCCGAACTTAAAATACTCTGTACATATGTTTAGAATAATTATAGAAATTAAAAAAATTTAAGAGAATTAAAAAAATTTTTGATCGAATTTACCTCTCTCGGTATTTGAACTCACGTACACAATTGCACAATTGTGTATATGTGAGTGTATGAACGTCTATGCGTGTATATACGTGTCTGTGTGAACATGTTTGCAGTCAACCAAACAGCAACATCAACAACAGCTGCGGGCAGCGTTTAGGCAGCAAATATATTTATGGCTATAACTTCCTGCTAAATCGGTCTATCATGATGAAACTACTGGCATACGGACACATAAGCACTAACTGGGGGTATTTGCAAAATTTGAGGTCGAAATTCCAAGAATTACGGGAGTTTAAGATTTGCATGGGAGAGGGGGAAGGGAGGGAAATTCCAAAATACAA